TTTTCGATGGACAGCCCCTTAGKWGCTCTTCTATCCTTCTCAACTACCCTTTGCCACAAGGACTACCTTTTCCCAAGAAATGTCCTTCCATCAACCCCCTCCCAAGGTAAAGTTAGTAGACATGGACCCTAAAACAAAAAGGAAAACTTTCTAAGGGAAGTGACTACTGGTTCAAGGCCATACACATGAGGTAACACCCCCCCTTATCTAGCTCTTACCCCTAGTCCTAGCATTACTACTAGGCAATTATAACAAAAAGATCTCCACTTTTTGAAAGGAWCTAATAAATTAAAAAGGGGTACTAAATCCCTARTAATTAATGTACACATAAATGAGTATATAAAAATATGAATAACGATGTATACCTTGCAAACGGAATGGAAGAAATCCCGACGGAAAAGGAATAGAGACGGATGGAGAAGAAGAAATTCCAAGGTGTTACATCAAACCCGACCCAAAATGAGTTTGTGCAATAAAGTGATGAAAATTAGATCTTTTCACATCATTTTTACTTCTACAAGCTTCTAGACAAAAGTGTATGTGATTTCACACACCTAAAGCGAAAACCTAGCTAAATCTTGGTGACGTTGAAGAGAAATTTCAAAGATTTTGAATATTTGAAGGTATAAATGTTGGTATTTTGATTTTCTTGATGTACTTGGATTCATGCAACTAGGGTTTAAGCTATAGAATGAATGATGGAATTATTTTGTACAAATATGATGAGACTACTTGTTATTTGGCCAAAAACATGGATTATTTTCAAGGATTAATTGAAATAATGTTGCATTATGAACACAAGTATGACTTTTCAAAGTCAAGCTTTAAATTGATGATTTTGATGAATAAGGCTTAAGTTTTGCTATTTCTATAAAGTTTTTGATGTTTTGAGATAGAAATCTGAATTTGATTCCAAATGGGAATGGTTTGGATACAAGATTGTTAAAAGTAGTCATTTTGAAACATAAAGGTCAATGTTTTTGTCCTATTTTTTGAAAATTCGTATAAAATCAGAGACAAAATCCAATGGACATAAGGTCAGTGGCATCTGAAAGATAAAAGTGTCTACGTTATTTCTTATTTAGAAGTCCGGATGTAGTTATGAGTTTAAGATGGTCAAAATGTGTACAGGGGAATTAGAATAGAATTAGCTAACTAAAGAATGGAATAGAATGAGATAATGTAATCATATACTTATGGAATTGAATGTGTATACTCCAGGGAGTATAAAGGTAAAATTGGAAGCTTTTGGAGTTCCATACATACTTGGACTACGGAGTTGGAACGAGACATTCGGTTGGGCATTCGGTTGACCCATTTTATGCACTGAGTCTATATGAAATACATGTTTATGTGTACATATATGTGTATGCATCTTCTGTTTGTATTAGTTGTGTTTCATGTTTTCATAAGGTGTAACATGAGTGAGTCTCTCTGATTCCGGTTTGTATTTGTATGATCGTTCCGCAATGTCGATCAAGTCCGTATCCACGATTATTTTGTTGATCTCTTGGTAAACCATGAATACGGGTACTACTTTGTGTGGTACGCAGGAAAGTGGTGCATGTCCACGTATCCCAGGAAGATGGAGGTTGGGTATGACATATTGGTTCATTATACTCATGTATCTTGAGTGGTATGAGACGAGTGTGAGTACTATTCTGCATGTACCCAGTAGATGAAGGTGGGAGTGGTGCACTATTATTGATATTTTATGTTTGATTCATGATATGTTTACAAGATACTATACTTGAGCCATGTGATAGATGTTTGTATGGAACATATGTCATTTCGTTGTCGAGTTTGTCGGTAAGAATGTATGTTGCTATTGGAACTTATGATGTATTCATGGAATTCTCCGAGTCGTTGGTCTTTGATGTTATAGTAGCTTTTGTTTCTAGATCTCGTTTCTTTCTTCGATTAATATTTAAATATAATACATTATAACCATGTACTTTTATATAGTCTCACTAAGCATTGTAGCTTATCTGTTATTGGTTAACCTTTTTACATGAAAGAGGATTGTAGACAAAGAGAAAGATAAGGAAGCTTAGTTCGGGTATTGACTCAAGTGTCAGCTTAGCTCTTTTGGGTATATTTGTATTTTCTTTTGGTGTGTTATATATATGTATGTATTCCATCGGGTAGATATGTCCCCGGTTGATTGTAGGTAACTTTTAGATTGTAAATCTTAAACTTTTGGGTTGATTTATATTTTGGTCAAAAAGAAAGAAATGGATGAAACCCAACAAATTCAAGTGGACATTTCATAGTTTTATACAAAAATATATCCCGTATATTTTAGTGGTTTAAAATTTGTTTATTTTTGGAGATTAAAGGTAAAATGGTCAGTAATGTAACCACGGTGTTACAATATGGTATCAGAGCAGAGGTTTAAGTGAACTAGGTATCAATGAGTGGTACTTAGACTTAAACTAGGCATCGATGTTGTATAGTAACTAGGCGAGGATTATACAGGATAAAGCCCGCTACGAGAGACCCAAGTTGGGTAGGGGACTAGGAATAGGAAATTCTTTAATACTCTGCACATTTTTTAAATCTTTCAGTACGATGGCCGATGGTGATGCCGCCAGTCACACCCCATCAAGTCCCGACGTTGGAGAGAATGCTCCAAATATTCCCTTAAATGACGATGAGACATCGTTGTCTCCTCCAGGTGAGTGATTGATAAGAAGTCTCACGATGTTCGTACAACAAGCTATGGAACAACAAAAATACGATGTTGAGAAACAAGTAACCGATAAAGGAAAAGAAAAGGCCATGGGCGACATGTCAAAGCTCAAAACCGATCGTGTATCATTTAAAGCGTTTAGTAGCAGTGGTCCCACATAATTCACCGGATTCGTTGATCCTGTGGTGGCAATTCAATGGCTACAAAATACCGAAAAGGTGTTCCGGATCACTCGGGTCTGGAACGAGGATAAAGTGAATTATGCGACTGCTATATTCAATGATTGGGCTTTAACTTGGTGGGATGCTACATATAAATCCCTGAGCGAGGATGTGAGGGATAATATGACGTGAGAGTCGTTTAAGACTCGATTTCATGATCAACATTGCCCGACGGATTTATAGAGAAGGTTGCAAAAGCAGTTCTTAGAGCTAAAACAGAGAAATTTATCGGCGATTGAATATGAATCACAGTTCAATCAGAAGGCATAAATTGCCTTACGATTCTTGATGTTAGAACGCTATCAAATTGATCGTTTCTTAGACGGATTGCGAAGGGAGATTAGAGATTTTGTTGTAAACCGTGATATCCTGACTTGAATAGAGTCGTGGAATATGCTCGACGACGTGAGCATGACTTGACGAGACGTGATGATGATCCGATCCCCTCATCAAAAAGACAACGTCTTGAGAGAGCATCTTCAGTACCCGCTCACCAACCATCTCGTTTCTCCAATCTGAGCAGAACCCATTCTCAGACTACTGATGCAAATTATCCTATAAATAAAGATATTTACTTGAAAATTCATGAGATTCACACATCTTGTGATAATAATGGGGTGGATTTATGAGGTTTTCTTTGTTTCTACTTAAATAAGTTGAATATGGAGTTTTAGGAAATGAGCATAAAACATTGATTTTAAACAGAATTTGAATGCAACATCAAGTTAACATTAGAATGGAGAAGTTAAAATAGAAGGATATAACAAAACCAAATATTAGAAGTGAGTTATTTTTTTTATTTCTTAGTTCCTTTTTAATTAAATTTTAATTCCTTATAAATTAAATTCAAGAAAACGAATTTAAAAATCTAAAATTGTGATCATCAATCAATTCTCTAACCTAATGATTTTTCAATATTAGTTTCCTTCTTTTTAATTATATGTTTTTCTCTATTTTAAATTTGGAATAATAACTTTTTTTTGTTTTTTAATGTCATTTTACTTTCTAAATATTGATTTATATTTTTGTACAATTACATGAAACTAAAATAAATATAAAATCATGAACAATGTTGGAATCGAAGGAGTAAAAAATTCAACAATGGAAAACCAACATGAAGTTTGTGATTTTTTTTTATTAGTCTGGACATCAGACCTGCTATGCGAGCCGACTAATTTGAGAATGAACATCTGCTTCACAAGTAGCCCAAAGTCATAAAATAAAAATATGTATTTGTCATTCCAAATCTTAAGACTCATAAAAATACATCACGATGCTATCATTTTCTTCGTTGATGCGTAGCTTTCATGCACGTATTTCTTGATAGTTGTAGTATTTTTTTAATGCAAAATAATTGATGTATTCAAAGTCGTACCCAATACTTTTTCACATGTTGACCATGTACCGATAATTGCAAGTTAATTTATGATTTTATGAAACCAAGACTACTTATTTAATTGCATGTTATCACAATTTATTATAGATAACTACAAGGGTGGTGATTGATTGGTTTGAATTTAACTCCAAATATCAAAAGTACCAGGAGGTCTCAGATTCAAATTCAAAGAGAAATAAAAATCCTCTTGTGGCCGTGAAGATTCAAATGCGGTGAATCCGGACTATCTGCAAAGCAGGTAGTCGTCCTAAGATTAGTCGGCTCACATAGCACAGGTTGGATATCCAGGTTAATCAATTTTTATTATAGATTATTTTTTTTTAAATTAAAGAAGTCTTTGTTTTAATATGTATAATAATAGACTCAAATGCATAAATGAATCCATCAAAGTGTTGAACATATACAACGATTTTAAAAGGAAAATATAACACAAAACACGTTCATGACTTGGCTTCGAAAACTCCTGTCACCAGCTGGTTTGCCCTTCTATCCACTCTTTCATGTTCTCTCTGCATATATATATATATATATATATATACACATATATATACACTCTGGTTGAATGATTCGTGAATAATGAAATGATTTAGAGTTTAAAAGTCCAAAGAATTTGTGTGCAATTGATCTGTCACTTTCCTTTCCCTTTCTATAAATTCATCCTCTTTACACTATTCTATCATCTTCAACCTCATTACACACTCTCTCTCTCTCTCTCTATCTCTCTCTCTATCTCTTCTAATTCACCAAGATGGGTTCTGCTACAATCTGCCAATTCTTCATGATATTGGCTCTCTTGGCCACTTCATGCATGGCACAAGCTCCCACCGCCACCCCAACGGTCTCACCCACTGCAAGCCCTACGCCAGTGGTTGCACCACCAACTCCCTCCCCTACCCCGGTCCTGGCTCCGGCACCAGCTCCTGCTGCTCCAACTCCAACTCCATCACTATCTCCCATCTCCGGACCTTCTCCAGCGCCTTCATCGCTTGCACCAAGTGCCCTTTCACCTGGTCCTTCTGCCGGTCCTGCACCAGCACCGGGACCCGGAGGACCTGCCGCAGATCTTCCAAGTGGCACTTTTGTAGATGGGTACGTCAACAGAGCTATCATTGCTGGGACTGCAGTCGTGGGATCATTCCTTGCAGTTACATTGATGTGAAGATGATATGGTGAAGGTCTTTGTTACTGATGAGATATATTCTAATTTCTTCTTCGGTTGTTGTAATTTTATCTTGACATCGTGATTGTTTAATTTTCCAATTTTTTTGGGGTTATTTTACTGTATTTTTACATTAAATTTGAGAGATTTATTGGCACAGAATCTTGATTATTTGTATGATATCATGAAAATGAATAAATGAGGTCCTATTCTTTTTTTTTTTGGTGAAAATAAATACTTTGTTTGTAGGGTCGTAAACAAACCGAATGAACATAAACAAATGCTTGTTCATGTTCGTTCGTTTAACTTAACCGAACAAACGAACACGAACAGGAAACAAACGAAAATCTTTGTGTTCGTGTTCGTTTGTTTAGAAATCAGGTGTGTTGTTCGTGTTCGTTTATACATATAGATTCATATAAATACGCATAGCTGGTTATAGGGAAAACGTAGTGAATTTGGAAGAGGAAGAGAGACTATATCTCTTGTCAAGCGAAGAACTAGGAGATTTTTTATGTAGCTGCAATGGAGAGCCAGCGGAACGATGAGGTTTCTACTCGCCCCCGATGAAGGTTTACGCCAATGATCAATTAGCCATTGAAATTCCCGAAACACGTAACAGCAAAACCCACCAGGAGGTGAAACCAAGAGACCTCTGTCTTATACGGTGAAGCCTCCGTCTTCTCCCCCTTGAAGCAGCCCCCTTTCATCTCCGTTTGTCTCCCTCACCGTCGTGAATGACCACGACCCGCTAGACTGGAAACTAAGAATATAACAAGAACATGTAACTAGTTTCTGATTAGTTTTAACCATTCAAGAGATCACTGTAAGTTCTTCTTTGCAACAAGATTCATACCAAAGTCTCATCTTAACACCCAAAATAAGATTGTGGCTTCTTGTTTGGAATCGATAGATCTGTAACTTATACTTTTTCAGGAAGTCTAACCATCACAAGATCAAACGACTCCATGAGAGGATCGATTACCTCAAGACAAATTAAAATCTTGGAAGCAATTCAGCTGTTAATTCTCAAAAGGAAGTCTAACGTGTTACTCGTGCAAAACCCACCAATTAAGGCAGCTTCATCTCTCGATCTGTTTGTATGTGTGTATTTTTGAGACAAAAAACCACGCACAGGAGATGAAACTTAACGATGTTTAGCAGATATGTATGGCTTCTAGAGACACAATCACTAAGCATCCATTCGTGTACTTTCTAGAGAGAGAAAGTAGAGGGAGAACTAATCTTTTTCTGTCTCTCATCTCTGCAATTGGCCAACATTTCTCTTACTTTTCTCCCCTAACCTTGTTGCAGGTTGAATTGGTAGAGGTTTAATGAGAAAAAGAGTAAAATGATAAAAATATCGTTAACTTAACTGTTTGGTTGAGGGACCATAATGATCATATCTGTAATTAATTGGTTTGGGGATCAATAAATATGTATTTTGTTCTACATTACAGATTTGGTCACTTGGTTATATGAAAGTTATGAATTAGGTTCTCTAAATAAAATAATTACAGGGGTGTTCAAAAACCTGATCAATCCGATCAACCCAATTCAAACCAACGTGAAATAAGTCAACCGTACGTAGCAACCCAATGTCTAATCAAGTTGTAAAATTTTCAAACCGTAGGTATTGAGTTGATATTAGGTTACTATTATTTGAACTCAACTCAACCCGATAAGCTCGATATCCTTTTATTTTTTGGATTTAATATGATTGTTGAATTTCTATTAATATATACATTAAACAATTACATTATCACATACGCTCTTCATATACACATATTTTCAATCTATTCACGTCTTTGTATAACTCTTTCGTATATATGTTCAGTAACTGTGAACATTTATATGTAAATTGAGAAAAACTGAATGTAATATACGTAAGAAGTAGAGATAAGTTGTATCCAATATGGTTGATCATGAAAAAGAAATTATTAGTAGAGAAAATAACATATTCAATGTTAGAAGAATATTTTAATGTACCAAAATTTCAACCCGACCAACCCGTACGGTTTGGGTTGGGCTGGGTTAAGATTTTTCAAACCGCAAACATTAAATTGGATCGTTCAAATGTTTTCAACCCGATAAACCCAACCTAGATGATAACATAGCATATCCATTGACCAAGCCTTTACCTGGGCCCAAGCATGAATGTCACACCAGGGCCAAGGGAATCAAACATATTGGAGAATGGTTTTGAGATTGCTTTTCAATTTTAAAATTATGGAGGTTGTCTTTCATACATGTTAAACAATTTGTCCTTAATTAGTTAATTGAATGTATGGTTAACTATTTTACTGGATTCCTGAGACATGAGTATAATATTTTCACACGCAATGATTGGTATATCTTCGACATTGTTAAACGTCATGTTGTAAAAAGGGATTATAAAGGCAATGTTCAAGATTACAAAGAATTGAGTGGGAGTTATAGCTATACAAGGATGAAGAAGTCCTCCTATATAAGTAGGAATGGTGTCTTAGGGGCTGTTTATCAAATGCTTATCCGGGTAAGCACTTACCAAGTTACAATGCCTTACCGGATGAATATGGTAAGGACCAAGAATCTTACCCGGTAAAAGCGAGACATGGACCAAGAGTCTTACTCGATAAGTGAGAGCAATGACTCTTAGCATGGTAAGCGTTTACCAGAAAAATTGTTGCATACAATGTCGTTTTTGTGGAACAAAAATCTCATCCGATAAGTAAATAATAATGTTAAATTTTACCGATAAGTACTTACTAGGTAAGTGTTTGGTAAACAACCCCTTAGTAAGAGCTGAAAATACATGACAGATTAAAAATTAATCATTTGGTTTGATAGTTAAAACTCGAAGTTCAAGAAATAATTTGAGCATATCAATATGGATTACATAAAATGTCATCATATTATCAAATTAGACATTAAGTGACACAGGAATTTTATACTGCACACTTGCTCAAGGCCAAATGGGAGATTGAAGGAATGTGTCCTTCATCAAGATGGCAATCAATTAATGGGATTGATAATGGAGATTAAACAATCCGGTCAAATTAGATGTTCATAATGTTTTGCTAGAAACCAATTATGGTATATGGGTCAATTTATACCGAGTCATTACTAATATAACCTGGTCCTATAAGGTCTCACACAATAGAGTAATGAAGAAGATCAATTGACACAAGCCCATGGTGGGCTTAAAGTGTTGGGAGCTAAAAGGGCTTTTAGGGTTTAGATTATTATTGATAAGAAAGAATCCCTAAATCCCACCATATAGCCGTGTCACCCTAGCTAGACAAGAAGTTCATCTTCGTGTCTCGTTCATAGCAAGGTGATCTTGGTTCATTCTCGTGTGGACTAAGTAGAGGAATCACATTTGAGGTTCTTTCTCCAAAACGGTTCGTAATCACGCATCTAAGGTACAATGCTTATTACTTAGATTCAAAGTGAATATATGCACATGATTTTGGTTAGATGTTGAAGAAAATTGTTTTCTGAAATTCCGCTTTATGCATCCAAAGTGTAACACATCTCACATAGCTTTAGGTAGTTATTGTTATCATAACATTTGATTTATTTAAAAAAAAAAATCAAAATAGTTAGCTCTCAATTGGATATCAATATATCGCATCTTCCCAAGATGCAATAAAACAATCCAATCTCACAAGCAACATGCACCTGTCTTCTGATTCTAGCTCTAAGAAATGGTTGCTCGCCACGTATAGTTTAGAAAATGCAATTGGAAGAAAACCGAGAGATAGTAATGGGTCCACGTATAACACTACATATGTTTATGCACATGGATCGCAGCATATTTAATGATTAAGTTCCAAGATGTGGGAGGAATTTCATGCAATCATTGTGGAGTGTTTAATCTCCTATAAAATCCATATGGTAGAGCTGGTGGTTAGTATCAGTATCACACAGTCAAGTGTATTTCATAGTCAAGTGTATTTCATACCTTGTACTCTCAACACAAATTAAGATCGACCAGATAAAAATGGGTGTTTCTTCAAAACCAACATCAAGGAAACATTTCCGATCCATTACTTTGCCATGCAGATCTCATCCGAGCACCGATAGAATCCAGAAAGTGCTGAATAAGGTCAAAACATGGGAGTCAATATCATCGTTATCCAATCCATCAGCAGAGATCGTTTGCAGCGGTTTGTCTCAACTGACAGAGTTGWATGAATGCTTGGATGACCTTTTCAAAACATCTCTCTCCCAAAATCTGTCGATATCCAGCAACMAKACCACGAAATKKAYGGATGAGTTACTCGACGCATCTGTCAAGTTCTTGGACATTTGCAGCAYTACWACTGAYGTCATGTCGCAAACTAAAGAGCACGTGAGAGATCTCGGATGTGATTTAAGGAGGAAGGGTRCGGGTTCCAGCATTGAAAGCACCACTGCMAAATACATTGTATTYAGAAATAAAYTGAGAAAAGACATAAAAGGATCGGTGGCTAGTTTGAAGCAAATGGATAACATGATCTGCKGCTGTCGCTTCAAGGAAGATGATTCTGAAAACCACCATCTGAAGTCGGTGATCCRAGCATTTAGAGATGTTAAAGCRTTTASCATTGTTATTTTCCGGTTGTTGTTGGTGTTCTTGGCTACCCCACTTTTGAAGAGAAGGCCAGGAAGCAGATGGACAGCTGTTTCAAGATTTCTATCTAGTGGTAAAGTGGTTCCTGATCAAGAGAATGCTGATGATTCTAATGCGAATGAGTTGCAACGCCTTGATGCTGCACTATTCAGATACCGTACCAGTGACAAACAGGAATTCATACAAATCGTAAAAAAGAAAATAGAGGTGTTGGAGGCCACTCTTGAAGGCGTCAACTCTCATTTGGATTTAGTGTCCAAGCGCCTGATTGCAACGAGGGCCTCTTTGCTTAACATGATCTCTTTCTACTAATGGGAACCTACCCATATATCTGGAAAGATATAGCATATGTCCAGTTTTTAGATGATGGACTGATGAATCATTTGAATATGTAGGATTCCAAATTTTCCTGTAAATGGTACACCTTTCTTTTTTACTTTTTTAGTGTGGCACAAGATATATCATATTGATACACTTGAACATTTTTTAATCAAAGCTTGTGCTTGAGATTTGAGTACTAATCATAATTCTCCAAATCTTGGAGTACCTCTTCCCACAAAATCTTTGTTAATTCTGTACCTGATCGAAATATAAGAATATTACAGGCAGAAACAAAGGTAATTTAAGCAAATGTATAGAACAAAGGAGAATAAATAACTATATTATGATTATGGCAGATCGATTTTAAAGGGCAGAGAGATAACCAGTACCACCTGCAGAAATATTATGTGAAGATAATTAGTAGTAATAAACAGTTATTTTTGACAGTTATAATGTGTCCAAAAATCTTTCAAATTCAGTAGTGAATTAGATATATATATGGCCTATAAATTGATGTATTAGTTCGTTGAAAATCGTGTAGCAAGTACACACCAAAAATTGGAAAACTTAATTAACTGGAAGTTGTTTTTTTTGCAGTTCTAAAGTCCAGATTTCTGTTATATATGGTTCTTACTGTTAGAGAAACATCAATATCTTAAACATAATTCTTTCATTATTCTGAATTGTACGACAGATTACAAATTCATATAGTATACAAAGGGATGCAACCCTTCACCAAAGGACACACCTATATAGATGGGTTGACAGTTACATAACTGTCAACAGTAAAAATAACTACCCATCAGATATAAAACCCATGATAAATAAACTTGACTACCATGACTAGCTTATATTTTAACACACCCGCTTAAGCCATTAATGGTAGAACTCCCAACTAATGGTAGAACTCCCAACTTGTCTCTCATAACTTTGAAGCTTCCAACTTGAAGAGCCTTTGTAAAACGGTCTGTATTTGTTCCTTTGTCCCACAAAACTCTATCTTTACTTCACCATTGGCAACAAGTTCAGCAACAAAGTGAAATTTAATCCTTAGGTGCTTGCATTTTCCATGAAATACAGGATTCTTGGACAAAGCAATTGCAAATTTATTATCACAGTAGATAGTAGTAGGATCACCTTGTGAATGCTCCAATTCATCCGGTATGGACCTTAGCCATAAAGCTTGACAGCCAGTTGAAAGAGACACGCATTTTGCTTCAGCAATGGATACGCCCACCACGCTTTGTTTCTTGGATTGCCAAGATATAGCCCAGATCCTAAACTGAAAAGATACCCTGATGTACTTTTCCCATCATCCATATTTCCTCCAAAGTCACTGTCACTATAGCCTATGAGCCTTGAATCCTTAGCCTTGGAATAGACAATACCATGATCTATAGTACCTTTCACATACTTAAGAATCCTTTTCCCGGCTTCCCAATGACTTGACTTGGGTGACTCCATAAATATGCTAATTAGGCTTACTGAAAAGGCTATGTCAGGCCTTGTGGCAGTCAAGTACATTAGGCTGCCAACCATGCTTTTGTAAAGGGTAGGATCTACTTCCTTATCTCTACTCTCCTTAGATAACTTTAATCCAAACTCCATAGGAGTACTTACTCGATTACATGGAAGCATATTAAACTTTTCTAATAAGCATTGAGCATAACTTTGTTGAGAAATTTTGATCTCTTCTTCAACCTGTCTCACCTCTATCCCCAGAAAATAATGTAGTAAACCCATGTTTGTCATGTCAAATTCCTTTTTCATGTTTCCTTTGAAATCTTCTATCAAAAGCTATAAGTTACCTGTAAAAACCAAGTCATCTACATAGATGCAAACAATGAGAATCATACCTTTAACCTTTTGAGTAAAGAGGGTATGTTCCTGAGAGCATTTGCTAATTCCATTTGTTAAAAAATAGTTCTCAATTATAGTCTACCAATCCCTTAGGGCTTGTTTTAAGCCATAAAAGGCTTTCTTTAGATGACAAACCTTGTACTCTTCCCCTTCCTTCACATAACCCTCAAGTTATTCTATGTAAACATCTTCTTCAAGAGTATCATTAAGGAAGGCTAATTTTACACCAATTTGATGTACCTTCCACTTGTTTTGAGCAGCTAAAACAAGGACTAATCTGACTGTTTCTAACCTTATGACATGGGCAAAGACTTCTTGATAGTCAATCCTACACTTTTGCTTGTAGCCTTTAACCATCAATCTTTAGGAAGACTTACAAGTTCTCAGATGTCATTCTTCATGATGGCTTCGATTTCCTTGTCTATAGCATTCCTCCACTTCTCCTCTTGACTGGCTTCCTCAAATGTTGATGGATCTGCCTCAGAAAACAAAGCAAAGTTTGCAATATCACTTAAGTCCAGCCTTCTTGTGTCATTATAAATATCTCTCAGACTTCTATAAACTCTCTTTGGTGGACTTTTTGTAGTAGATTCAGGAGAATTAAGTTCTTCAAAGGTTTGAATACTGCTAGATGTCATAGCGAAGTTCATAGTGGGAAAATATTGATGATGATCTTCTTGATTCACAATAGTCCCTTTTTTGTCTTCTTCATCTTCTAAAATCTGTGTAGTGGTCCCCTCTTATTTTGATTGATCATTCTCTTAATTGCTCTTCTTGTTCTTTTGTTACTTCTTCAAATTGATCAGTTCCATCAATTCCTTGTTCAACTATATCCCATAATTCATGCGATTCAAATAGGAATTTCATTTGTATGCTCTAGTGGTAGCAATTTTTTCCATTTAATCTAGGAAGTTGAGGATGCAAGATGGTATTCGAAGTTGAAGCCATCTTTTGCGCTCTGATACCACAATGTTAGAGATACATCAATATCTTAAACATAAATTCTTTCATTATTTTGAATTGTACACAACCTACAAATACATGTGGTATACAAAGGGATGCAACCCTTCACCAAACGACACACCTGTGTAGAGGATTGCCAGTTACATAATTGTCAATAGTAACAATAACATTCATCAGATGAGTTGGATATCCAGGTTAATAAAAAAAACATCCATCAGATATACAACCCACGATAAATAAACTTGACTACCATGACTAGCTTATATTTAACACTTTCTTTATTTGTTCAACAAAAAATTAGACGAATTCAAATACACTTTTCTATGTCAACATGTGGAATTTATTTTGCATATCTAATTAAGTGTGGAAGTGACTTATGTATATCTCACTTACAAATTCGTGTATAGTAGGGAAATATAAGAGTGCTTAAATTTCGAATAAACCAACAATTGAAAGAAGAATGAAGCAAGTCCATGAAAACTCCGTATTTCATCAATAGCTCTTGGAGTTGGCCAAGAGAGAATGACATCTAACTTGGAAGGGTCAATATGAATTCCTTCATCCTGAGACGACACAACTTAGAAACACCAAACATTTGTATGTAAAGCTTTTGTTTGTCTACAAATTCATTAAGGTTAGATGTCCAATTTTGAATGATCTTTTCTAATTAGATGGGATGAAGCACATCTCTAATATTTAATCACTGTATCAAAAAAAATCTTTCAATTCATTATCGAGTGAAAAGAAAGGACAAAGAATAGGAAACTGAGATCGGTTCTTTATTGGTTCTCTATTTATCTTTGTCAAATCATGATCACTATTATTCTGTTACAACCAACTTTGATGCTAAAATTAAAGGGTTGTGATCATCCCTTGCTGTATGGTTAGGATTTAATCTCTTTGTATTTCTTTTACTATAAATAGCCTTGTACATCACTGTTGAATGAAAATCAATTAAGAAATGAATAAAATCATTTCTTCTACTTTTCTCTATACATTATTATGGTATCAGAGCCCTAGCCCTCCGGCAATATGACGGGACATTCTCCTTCATCAATTTCTTTCTTTGCTACCTCAACAATTTCTTCTACTGCTTCTCCATTACCTCCAACCCTTTAATGTATGTCATGACTAGCACAAGACCTGATATTGCATTTGCAGTAGGAAAACTGAGTAGGTTCACTAGTAACCCAAGTTCTCATCACTGGAAAGCAATAAGATGAGTGCTTAAATATCTTAAGAAACCAAAGACTATGGTTTGTCATATGTGGGAATTTCCATCAGTTATAAAAGGACATTCCGATGCTAGTTGGATTACCAACATTGAACACCACTCATGACAAGTGATCGGGTTTTCCTGCTTGGAGGAGGTGAAATTTCATGGGCCTCTAAAAAGAAAACATGCATCATTAATTCGACAATGGAATCTGAATTTGTACCTCTAGCTGCTGCTAGTAAAGAGGCATAATGGCTAAGGAATTTGATTTTTGAGATCCCGTTATGGCCAAAACCGATTTCTCCTATTTCTATACACTGTGATAGTGCAACCACTTTTGTTAAAGCATATAGTCAAGTATATAATGAAAAGTCGCGACATTTGGGTGTTAGGCATATTATGGTACTTGAGCTTATCACCCATGGGATAATATTTGTTAGCTTTGTACGATCTCAACGTAATCTAGCTAATCACTTGACAAAAGGGTTAGCTAGGGACTTGGTAAACAAGTCAGCTATTGGGATGGTTTAAGGCCCGTTTGATATCTCTAAGGGTAAGATACCCAATTCCCTTCTAACACAACGTTAGGAGTTGTAATTCAATATGGAAAGCTTGCTTTTGGAGATAGAAGCACATTTGATTACATCATTCCAAGGTATGTGCTTAGACCTATAGATTAAAGTTAGGTTGAAATATAGTTTCTTAATGGTTCTATTGGTCCCAAAGGGTCTACAATAATACTAAACAATTTGTAGAAGGGGGGGGATGAATACAAACACAATTTTCAAATTTAAAATATATATTGATA